TAACTATGCATGTACCACTGCTCTGTTAGGATGAACTTCTGAACAACAGTCTCTCAGTTGCTTATCAGTCCAGTGGATTCCAGAAACCTGGAAACTGATGCAATCACATGTAGCTTGGTTTCATAGATCAGCTTTGGTTGCTAAGCAGCTTGTGCTTCAATAAAGGAAATCCGTTACCCAGATGTGGTTCAGCTGAAAGAACATTGAAAATAAGTCAATTGCCTTATACCAAGTTAGACCTTTGGCCATTCAGGGAGGGAGGGAGGGAGGGAGCTCTCCATCCATGTTTGACCCCTCGGAGCAGTCCAGGGGGGAGGGGGGAAGAAGAGTACTTCACTGGGAGCCCTGCAGGTTGAATGGTGAAGACTTGCAGACCAAATCTGGCATGTAGGAAGATTTGTACCACCTACCCAATATTGTTTGTTCTGATTGTTAAAATCCTCCAAGGTTTCAAGCCCGGGTGTTTCTCATCCCCTGTTGCTCTTCTGACCTTCACTATAAAACATGTGCTCCAGCACTGACTAATGATCTTTCCCCAGAAGACAACTCCTGTAAGTAAGTTAAAGCATTTCTAAAGCATTTTAAATCCATTGCCATCTTTGCATTCTTTGATATCCAGCTTATGAACTCCAGGAGTGCCCAGATCCCGAACCCTTTGCCAACGGCATTGTAAGAGGAGCTGGTTACAGTGTGGGGCAGTCCATCTCTTTTGAGTGCCTCCCTGGCTATCAGCTGATTGGCCAACCAGTCTTAACCTGCCAACATGGAACCAATAGGAACTGGGACCACCCATTGCCCAGGTGTGAAGGTACGACTTTATTGAGACTCTTCTTGGAAGGGGATTATGAAGGAAGAAAGGGAAACGTTATCGTATTAATTGAGTTAGTGTATCTGAGATACATTACATATTTATTAAATGTGTGAACTGGGCTAGTTGGTTTTTGGCAAGAGGCACCATATTAATTTGTATGAACATAGTCTACCTTTCCTGCAGCACCAGAACCATGACAAATTTTGGGCTAGGTTGGGTGGTCTTTTTCCTTTATCAATTTCTGTTTCACTTAGAAGTAGACCACTTTTAATTCAGCTTTCTTGCTTCCAAACTATCTAGATATTATCATAAGTCTATGACCCTTAATTTCTGCTCCTTCAGGGAGTGGAAAATCTGGTTTTTTTCCACAGCCTTGATACCATGGTATCTCTCCCACTCCACCAACTGCACATCTCTCTCTCTATTCCTTTTATATGGCCCTTTTCTCTTGGTGGCTCTCTTTTCTATTTTTCTGCTCTGTTTTCTAAGTAATGTTAAACTTTACTTTAAACTTGCTTGAGCCCCATGTTCATATATTCCTTCCTCATCACATCCACACTGGAGGGAACTTTGATTTGTTAGAAGAAGGCTTTCCATGACTTGTCACCTTCTGCATATGCTAAGCTACATTGGTAGTCCTCGTTTAGCGACCACAATTGTCCCAGTCTAAACATATTGACAAAGTTCACAGGACACACAGGTAACTGGTTAAGGGAGGGTTAGGGCTTCAGGCAAATATTGGTTCTCACCAGGGTTCAAAAAGTTTCCTTTTAACTGAAAGGAGTTCTGGGTTTGTTTTAGGTTTAAATAATCTTTCCTGTTCAGCTGTGTGGTGTAATCTCTCTTCCTGCTGCCGATACAGAGAAGAGTGTCTACAGTGTCACATACAATAGGACATCTTTAGCAACAGTGCTCTCTCATTTTTCTCATCTTCACTCCTTATGCACCATGCCAGGGGGTATGTGTGAAGCATGCAGAAAGAAGATGGGGATAGGCTAACCTCCCTCACTTTGTGGGGCTCCACTCCAGTCATGTGTCGGTCATTGAGCAACACGGGTGGATGGATTTTCCTGAAATACAGCAGGTCTTTCTTTGTAGAACACAGCTCACAGTGATGTGTTCTAGGATACCTTTCAGACCACACTAGGCCAGAGGAACACTACTTGAATCTCTGTATTGCGTGTGCCCCTGAAACCTTTGTGTGCAGCCTCTCAAAGATCTCCTCAAAGTCATTACCAAACTGTGATTTTTAATGTGACTGCGTAAATACATGGCTAGAAAGTAGAATTAAGTATAGTGTAAGTTATATTTAAATCCAACTGGAAATGAAGTCAAATCAGATTTAGGTTTTTTTTCAGACCTACTCCCTATTTTATATAGTGTGGGCCCCAGCAAACCATTCAAAAGTGAAGGGTAGCCCTTGAACCAGAAAGCACTGGTTAACATGAGGTTTAACAGTCCTGGGCTGGACTTTCCATGGTCTGCACTCTTCTAGATGCATTGTCCATAGGAAGAATCCCTTGCTCAGTTACATTAAAGGTCTACCTTCCCATAGCAAAGCTCTCAGAGAAGCCTGAAAGCAGAACTTGTAGACAGCCCTCTCTTCCTCTCTCTCTCTCTCTCTCTCTCTCTCTCTCACACACACACACACATTTTTCATTATAATAATAATAGCCCTAAATCTTGTGAATGTCTTAATCTCCTTTGAAAGCCATCACATGTCTCAGGTCAGCAAAGGCCCATCGTTTGGGGTTGCTTCTTTTTGTCAGTCATGAGTTGTTGGAGAATCCTACCTTCACGTTTGTCAATATTAACCATATTATTATTTGATCATGGGAACTGCAATTCGGAGGACTTGAAAAGAGATCAAATGATACTGAAATCATACCATCCGTACTTTGCAAGTACTGGGATTTAGCAGAGCTTGATGTCTCTTTGTGGTCAATTGCATACAGTCCCCTGTGGAGGAAACATCACTGCCCAAAATGGAACCATCTACTCCCCTGGCTTTCCCAATCAGTATCCCAGTTCCCAGGACTGCACATGGCTCCTTGTGGTGTCATCCGGATATGGCATCTACCTCAACTTTACCTTGCTGCAAACAGAGCCGTATAATGACTTCATCACTGTTTGGTGAGTAGGATTTGGAGCCGAGAGCTCTCTCTGAGCCTAGCTTTTTCAGTAGGTGTTACTAGAACCTTGTAACAGCCCTGCTTGCTTACCCTGTGCTATCCACTCATCATGAGAAGTCTGGAGGTCAGCTCTTCACTTGACCCCAGGGAAACAAACTGTCCAAGCTGGGATTAGGAAGTTGGTGGCAGCAGACCTAGGAAAATAAAATGTATACTACAAAGAGGCATCATGAAATTAGAAAATCTTTTGCTCCAAACCCCTGGAGGAAAAGGAAAATTTCAGGATGCAAAAGAACTTTAAAGTGGCAACCAGCATCCCGAGGGATGCTGTGGAAATGGTAGTAATGAAAATGGCTTGATCTGGAAAATGGAAACATAGAGAAACTTGGAAATATATGCTCTATTTTAGCACTTTTTACAGGAATTAATAAATGCTGCAACAACTATTGTCTAGTCTCATTTCCAGTGCTCTGAGGTCCAGTGGAGATCCACCAACCTCTAGATCAGAAGTCCACAAGAGGAAGCAAGCCCATGACCAGAGAAGGACTGAGTCTTTCTTTCTCTTGTGACACTAAACACCAGGGTGTGAATGGGAAGAGCTACAGTGTTGCCCTTGTGTTGAAGAGTTGTATTGTGTTACTTATCCTCTGTGCTGGATTCTGCAAATAGCCTTTCAGTTATAAAGTCTTTCCATTATTTCGTTTTTAGAAACCATTTTGCATAATAAAAGCTGGGTGGCAATACAGGAATACTTTTCTTTACCAGATTTAAAATAATAGGAAGCACTTCTTAATCCTTTTTTTTTTCCCCATCGTTTACAATTTGGGGAAAATTAAAAACTAAACAAAGCTTAATTCTCTTTTTTGCACATACCATATTTCTAGGCTGGGGAATGAGAGATCTTCAAGTGCATAGATAGGCAGATATTCCAGACAAAATAAGAAAGAAAATAGAGGAGGGACCCTATAGGTCTGGTGGCCCGTGAGCAGAATAGGAGAACTTTGTGGATCTTTCAGCCAGATTGACCCACTGGGAGTGCCTGACTGGCCTCCCAAGTATCATCATCAAGAGGGTTGTCAGCTCTTTTAAAAGTTCCAGATGGAATTGTCTCCAGACAACAACCTGGGTGGTGTACAAACTGAACCACAGTGCTCCCATTCTTAACCATGCCTCTTCTGTCACTCTTTTGTATTTCTTTTCTTCTTCTTCCTCTTCCTCTTTCTCTTTAGGGATGGGTCTCAGCAGACAGCTCCCCAGTTGGGGGTTTTCACAGGACACTCGGTGAAGAAAGCCATCCAAAGCTCTTCTAACCATGCTCTGATGAAGTTTCATAGTGATGCAGCCAATGGAGGCCTCTTTGTCATCCACTTCAATGGTGTGTACTAAGATGCAAGGCTTTGCTGTTGCACCAGTTGGGCTAACCTGTTGCACGCAGCAATGGTGGTTCAGTTGTGTGCTGCTTATGTATTCAGCTAGGTTTCATCAGGTGCCTTCTCTGCCACACACCTGATGCAGCATGAAAAAGACCGATCTGGACCAATAAATAGCACTTATCTCTATGGTTGTGTTCACACAGGATGCTTAATCAAATTGATTAGAAACTGAGTGGCAGTGTGCATTGATTATGGTTAAGTTTAGGGAAGCTCTTTGTAGCTTAGCTCTGCCTGTAAGGTTAGTTTGAGATTCCAGGTATTGTGCAAATCAAGCAAATGGGTTAATTCAATAATTGAGTTGTGTGAACAGTGCCATGAGGAAATTTGAATGCTGAGTGAACAACTGGGTAGTCAGTGTAGCTGAGAAATGAGAGAGAGAACAGTATGCTTGGGCTTGCAGAGAAGAAAGAATGTATTTTTTATGAAAAAATATCCTTGAGGGCCAATGAATCTTTAGAAAGTTGAACCAAAGAAGGGTACAAAAAGGAGACAATGCCCCCCCCCCAAGGGAGCAGATTCTGTTTGTTGTGGAATTGATTTCCCAGAGATTCAGCTTCTGGCTTCTCTCTTTGTTCTCATTTTATGTTCTTATTTTATTATTTATATGGCCACCCATCTCAACAAGTGATTTCAATTTTTGCCAAGGATACATAATACAAAGATATCTTGTAACATCCCATGGCTAGAGATCTGGTACTCTCATGCACTTTATTTATTTCCTTCTCTTCCCAGCCTATCAACTTTCTAAGTGCCAGCCACCAACTATGGTCCCTAATGCTGAAATCATCACTGAGAATGAGGATTACAACATAGGTATTGCATGCATGCTTTCCCCAACAGCTTTTGATAGTATTTTCTGGATGTAGATATGTGGTATATATCACAGAAGGGTTGTCTTCTCCCCATTCTCATCTCAGTCCTAATTCAATGTCTGAAATGAGTACCCATACTTTATTTGCAATAAGCGAGTAAATGATTTAATGCTGTGCATCTTCCCGTTCTCACCACGGTCCCAGTTCAGCATCTTAGCACAATGGAGTGCCTACTCCTTATTTATGGTAACTGCCGGGAGTCCCCTGGATGCAGCTAGAATCCCATAAAAGAGAACACAAACGAGCACATTGGCTTTGCCTCTTCCATCATTGCCTTCATCTTTTGAGGATGAAGGTCTGCATAATTTAAAATGAAAGTCAGGGTTAGCTTTTATAAGAAACTTACCTGAGGAGCTCATCCGCCGAATCCAGGAAGATCCCAGAGGGATTAGAGCCAGCCCATGAAATCTTCCTGTTCCTCATCTGATTCTAATCCCCAAAGTCCCTCTGGAGCCATGCTCACCTCCTGGTGACTATATGTTTTCTTGGCAACAGTGTGGAAGTCATACAGCAGCTGTTTGCCAATTGTCTTTGGTTGTTTTTTCAACTTCCCTGGACTAGTTGACAACCCTTGAATTTCCTGGTAGTCTCCCTTCCAAATACTAACCAGGTTCAACTTTACTTAACTTCTGGGGGATCAGCTAAGGCATTTGTAGCTCATCCCTGATTTGAAACACTGATCGGCATCCGAGAGGTGGGTGGGCTTTTGAGCACTCCACCTTGCCTAAAACAACAACTCCTCTACAAGCAGAAAATTAACATGGCAAGGAGGACGTTTTCAACCTGCCAGTTTAAAAAGAAAAGATAGTTCAGTTATAAGAAATTGATAGATGTTACCTACAAATCAGAATTCTCCCACTGCATTTAGTGGTATGCCTATCCAGGCTTAAGGGGTGGATCTTCACCTATACAGCAGGTGGGCACAGAGTTTGAAAGATTAATGAAGACAATGGGATGACTGGAAGTGATTCACAAGAGAACAGAGGCAGCAGATGACAAGACTTGGCTGATGTGCGGTGCTACACACCTGGGAGAAATATTGCAAAGTAATTCAGCTAAAGATTCTTCATTTCTCCCTGATGGCACCACTAAGTATGTTGCAAAGATACCAGATGAAAATGTCCTATAGCATAAAGCAGTGAGCAACTAAAATGGGACCTTGTTGCTGAAATATCCCCTCCCCTTTCCCTCGATATGTCATTTGACTCATTTAAATCACTAACACTCTAAAGCAGTGTTGTCCAAACTTGGCCACTTTAAGATGAGTGGACTTCAACTCCCAGAATTCCCCAGCCAGCCATCCTTTCCCTAGGTGATATTATTAGGTATCAATGTCTTCCTGGATTCATCTTGGTTGGAAATGAGATCCTGACATGCAGGCTCCTCCAATTTGAAGGCCGTCCCCAATGTGTGAAGGTAAGTGATTTTGCTGGCTGGGGAATTCTGGGAGTTGAAGTCCACTCATCTTAAAGTGGCCAAGTATGGACAACACTGCTCTAAAGTGACTTTCTGGACCATGGGAGAAAACATATATGTTCTCATTTAATAGCAGCTGGTCTTCCAACATTTGGAAAAGTAACCACTTGAGAATGGCAGTTTTGATCCATGTGTCCTCTGCTCCCCCCTTCCTTCATTTAACTTTATGAGATTCTGATCTCCTTCCTCACATCTAGTTCAGTTGTAACCATATGAGGCATCTGAGGATCCTTATTCACTATGAGTCCTTTCGTACTGTTGAAACACATCTGCATCCTCTCCATTCCTTTCCTTAGGTGATATTATTAGGTATCAATGTCTTCCTGGATTCATCTTGGTTGGAAATGAGATCCTGACATGCAGGCTGGGTACCCACCTCCAATTTGAAGGCCGTCCCCCAACATGTGAAGGTAAGTGATTTTGATGGAAGTATAAAAAGAACCACAGAACTCATGGCAGGGAATAAATAATATCTGGACACCTTGCTATTTAAGTATTGGGTATACAAGAAGCCAGATAGATATATTAAGACCTATGCTGTGGACACTCCAGAAAAGGAGTCAAAGAGACAGTTCCTATAAAAAATAAAGCATGTCTGCATCACCGGCTTCTGACGGGAACCCATTGCGGAATCAAGATGTAGGACTCAGATGCAAAATAATCAAGGCTTCAGTGCAGTGTTTATTAGACGGTGCACACTGGAGGGGACCCCACCAAGGGACAGTGGGAGACACTCACGTACAGGCAAAAGAGATGTTCCGATATTTATACATTTCGAAAAAGGAGAAGGGAAAAGAATGCATGCACATACATATTCATATAATGATGCAGGCATACATAAGTAAGCAATAGATCTCAAATTACTTTGTGTTCCTCTGCTGATCTACTATCTACAAGGAAAACAACAGCCTTACTGAGAAGAAGAAACAAATCAACTCCAGGTGCCAAATGCCTGGAAGGATACATCCTTTCAAGGCAGATGCCTTGGCTATTATGGGGATGTTTTTGATAAGAGCTTTTTACAACCAGCCCAATTCACAACAGCTGTGATAAACTCTTTACAACCAGCTTAGATCCCACCAACTTCAAGGCTGCTGCACATTCTTTTATATTTCAGTTTTATTAAGGCACTCTCATTCATCTGAAGCCTCTAAAAACTTATTTTCCTCACACCATGTTTGGTTCTAGGAAGGGAGCCTTAGGTAAACATGGCATGGTCGCCATCACAGAACAGTTTCTTGAAGTGCAAAATATTGTTGATACCTATGCAAATGGTATTTTCTTTGCAGAAGCAATGTGGCAATCCGTCTCACACTCACAGACCTAGTATAGGCATGAAGGAGGGCCTGTGAGTCCCATGTATATTATGCTTTAAAAGGCCCTGAGATATATTCAGGGAAGCAGAGTCTATTGCTAACTAGGGGAAGATGCAACAGAACTCTTTCCCCCAGTTAAATAGTCCAATAGGTGATGCGAAAGACTTCTCCTAGAACCCTAGTGAATTACTGTAAGCCAAAGCAAGCAACCTTCACCAATATTCACCAATCTGTGGATTAACTCCCAGAATTTCCCAGCCAGCATCTCCAGTGCTGAGACATTGATCTACTCATTGGAGACCTGCTAGATGCATTAAACAGCTTCCTCTATTAATACTAGCAGGCTTCTGAGCCCAGATGACAACCCTATGACTAGTTCTGTTTCACAGTAACACAGAGTGACTCTCCATGCCTTGCTGTTTTGTGTGTGTCAATCAGTTCACTGTCCAATGAATGAGGTCCTCCGTGACTCCACAGGAGTGATCCTAAGCCCAACCTTCACAGGCAGCTACCCTCACTTCCAGACTTGCTCTTGGATGATAGCAGTGGAACCAGAGTACAACATCACCTTCACTGTTGAATATTTCTTGAGTGAGAAGAAGTATGATGAGTTTGGGATATTTGATGGTAAGTCGCAGATTTGATGGTTTGGGAGATGAGATTTGGGTGGGGGGCAGGGGGCTAGAGCTCCTCAGATTAGCAGATGGAAGACTGCTTAAGCTATGCACCTTCCTTTAGGGGTGGAGGGTAATGGAGAGGGAGCAGGGCAAGGCTACAGGTTGTAGTAGCTACTAGAATTCTGCCCAGAAGGGCAGAGAAAGCAATATGAGGTGGCCACCACCAATATTATTAATCATGGCTGATGTGATTGGTAGCATAGTGCATTAGGCTATTCCTCCACAACCATGGATAAGACATCAATTGCCAAAGATGCCCCTCGGGAGAGGAAAAATGCATTTTAAGCTTATAGAATTATAAAATGTGTCACAAAGAGCAAATAGAACCTTTTTTCTGATTCCATGCTACTAAAAAGGCATGGTTACCCAGTTAGAGTGATTGACAGCAGAAAAGAACGTGTTATTTCACATTATGCATATTTAACTTTGGAAATTCACTGCCAGGAGATAGGATGTCAGCCTCTAGCTTAGGAGGCTGTTGGTGAAGAACAAGGGCCATCTGCAGAAATTGAAGTGTGAAGTGTCCTTCCTCAGTCTTACAGGCAATGATTCCCTCTTCCAGGTTATCCCATTCTTCCTTCAGCCTTTTGCTTTCTATATTCCCCCCCCCACACACACACACTTCATGTTGGAGAAAAAAAGCGGTATCTGGTCTTCAGTGGCCTTCTTTCCAGCTTCTGGCCGACAAAAATCTCTTTCAAATTTTGGTCTCTTGCTGAGCCCTTCTTTAGCTTCTATCACCATTCACTGGATGAATTTATTCATAATTATGAAAATTGATTAGGAAGGATTGCTCTGTCAGTTCCTATTACAACTATGACAGCTGCAAGAAACATCTGTGTTCAGCATTCCTGAATCCCAGGGTTTGGAAGCTTGCAAGAAAATAAGGCTATTGCAATCATCTATGCTATCTGGCCTTCTGAATAACTTTCCCCAAACCCACATACCCTTGCCCCCAGGTATATTTAACTAGAACCAGCTATACCCAGCCAGAGTGGTCTTTGGGGTTTATGGGGATTGTCACTTAGCAAAGTTGGTAGTGAATTGAAAAAATCTACAGCAGGAAGGGGTGTACAACGTTCATAGGTTGAGTGCAAGATGATGCTTCAAATGGGATGTCAGGAGCCATACTTCAAAATGGCATGAAGCCACATGAAAAGAATTTACAAGTGGATGGGGGTGAACATGTAAATAAATATTACTTACTTTTAATATTTATTAAATAAATATTTATTTATTTATTCAATATTAGTTACTTTTTTTTATCCCAGCCTTTCTCAGAGGGCTGTTGTTGCAGAGGTAAAATAGAAGAAGATTCCATTGATGCCCTCTGAGTTCCCCCCCCAAAAATATGAGGTATAAGGGCAGGAAATAAACAACTAAGAAGAAATAAATAGATTTCCAGTCTGAATCAATTAAGAAGTCTGGGAGTAAAAATCGAACCCCATTCTCTCCTGCACAGTCACATAGGAATTTCATTAACCAAGCAGGCTGGGACAGAGTTGGGAGAGGTCTCACTGGCATGGAGGTTTTCATGGGGTCCTGCTCTACTTATCTGATGTTTCTAAAGGGCCTTCAGGTCAAAGTCCACTGTTACTATCTCTAAGTGGAAATTACTCTGCGCCACTGATGGTGACCAGTTCAGGAAACAGAGCCTATCTCCACTGGTCCTCTGATCACGCCTACAGCAGGAAGGGTTTCCGGATCCGATATTCTGGTGAGTAGGAAGCACAAAAGAATTTGATCACTGATGCATGAAGCAGTGGTAAGGTGAAAAGAAAATGCTGTTTCTTGTCTTATATTTTCTGGTATTCTAAAACTAGAAATAGAACTCAATATTTTTCCTATAGAAAAATTACTCAACCTGTTTTGGGTTGTTTTTTTTAATTTGTTTCCTTTGCTTTTGTTGTTTAATTAATTCTTTCCTACTGCCTACCCTTTCGGTCACTGAGTCTGAAGTCTTGAATTAATGCAATTTGCTTCTGAATAAACATGAACCAAATTGTGCTGTAAATTGAATCACGTTCAGGGTTATAGCTTGCACTTTTTGTAGTAATTAATTTAGTGAAGGGTTTTTATTATTAATTATAGTTGTATTGAGAAAGAATACACCATGCTAATCTAGAAGTAATATTGTGTGCATAAAACCAAGGGCCGTTATTTATTGCAGATCAACTAATCTAGGCTTGCAACTATTTGATTTTATAAATACTGCAATCCGGCTTTTCAGTTCTCCATAAAACTTTTCATCCTTTGTACCATACTGTCCTAAAGTATGTGAAGTAATGCAGCTTATTTAAATATGACTAAATCCAGGTTATTGTTATTCAGGAATAATCATTAAACAAATTCTAGACAATACTTTGCTGGGAGACGTTGACATTGTGGTGGGAAATTATTTTGGTCCACCTAAAATACAATTTTGGATTATAACTGGGCACTATTATCTCATTATCATATGAAGATGGCATAACTGAAACAACAATAATAATAATAATAATAATAATAATAATAATAATAATAATAATAATAGATGGAAGTTGGAAGTTGGGAAGGCTGATATATAGATTAATGGCAGTTCATAATATGAGTGTATTTTTTTCCAAATTTGACGTATGGGTTCAAGTTATATATGTAGATTAAAAATATACAATTGATCTCTGCACATCAGTTGTAGCAAATAATATGTTTCCTGTGGTCATTTGAATTCTGGGAGCTGAAGTCCACACATTTTAGAATTGCTAAGGTTGAGAAACACTGCTCTACATCTGCAAAAAACTAAAATGGAGGCATGGGGTGAAGGAAAGGAGAAAAGTAAAGTTTGCTCCTTTATGACTCTTATTTGTTTCCCAACTATTGCTGCAAGAACCCCCCTAAAAATACATTTTAAACCATGGAAATTACATGCGTTCATTTGCTTACATCTCTTTGGATCCTGCATATTCCTGTGACTCTAGGTGGCTTCCAATAACTAAACTGTAAAATTAATCCATAAAATTGCAATAAAACAATGGTAAAGACTTTTTTGAATGACTGGAAACCTTATGTAGACTTTTTGCTGAAAGAAGAAAAAATTGAATTGATGATTTTGGGATTTGGGGTCTAAAAAGGAAAAAAGAGGTTGGGGGAGAGATTTAGAAGATAATTACTTGGTAGAAAAAGGGCATAAATGTATGATTTTTTATTCTTTCTTTTCTCTTTACTTCTTTTCTATTTTTCTTTCTGTCTGTTTCATGTATTTTACTACTTTGAAAATTTTTAATATATTTTTTTAAATGCAATAGAACAATCGTAATCAATAGAGCTCCTAAGTACTGTTAATAAAAGTTAGGATTCTCCTGCCCCAATGTCCTCTGCAAGAGGACTGTCTTTATCATTTCTGAGAAGCGCATAAGGTTGGGGACACACCTGGCCTCAGAGCCCACTGAGAAAAGGGACTGCTACTGAAAATTTCATAAACAGGCATAGAACAGTGTCCAAATCTATTTTCCATTTCTTTTGCTTTTGTTACCTTTGTGATGTGGAAGAAGAACCTGCTCTTTTGTTCTTCTGAATTTCCCAGAAGAGAAACAGTAATCCTTTCACCGTTAACATTTGCACTGTGGATGTTTTATACTGGTCCTGATTTCCTATGAACTTTAATTATTCCACCTTTCTAAAAGCAATTATGAAAGATTTGGCAAAGAGTCCCTTAAAATTAAACAAGCAATTCTTGGAATAAAGTAATTTTTAATTACTTAATGAAAAGCAATCAAACTTGAAACAGGGACATGTCTAAATGTGTCATAAATACATTAATGGTGTTCTTCTGTAAATGAATGAATTAATATTTAATTGGAAGAAATTATGTTCTGATTTTTTTTGCTGAATGAACAACAGCAGCTTTATTCCACTGAGATTATTGGGGCTTTCTTTGTAACTCTAGTTTGCTTTTCAGAGTTCCAAATTACTTGCATTCTGGAGGATCAGGAAGACAAAGGATCGGGAACAGTAGAGAAAGAATCAGGACGTTTACAGTTTTTATTTATTTTTTAAAAATATGTAATAGTGTAAGGGTAAAATGATGTCTTGGTTTTGGCTCACAACAGAGCTAGATGAGAGCCATCCCAGAAGTTGCTGTACTGCAACTATCAGCATTACTAAGAAGAATGACTTAAAGTGAGGGATTCTGGGATTTGTAGTTCTGCAATATCTGGAGTGCTTCAAATTGCCTACAGCTAGTCCTCAACTTATGACCATTTGTTTAATGACTGTTCAAAGTTATGGTGCTGAAAAAAGTGACTTACGACCAGTCCTCGCACTTACAATCATCTCATTGTCCCTGTGGTCACATGATCAAAATTCAGTCAGTGTCCCAGGGTCATGTGATCGCCATTTATGACTTTCCCAAGGGGCTTCCAACAAGCAAAGTCAATGGGGGAAGCCAGATTCACTTAACAAAGGTTGTAAAATCAGGTGCAACTCACTTAATGACCACATTGCTTAGGGATGGAAGTTCCAGTCCCAGTTGTTTGTTGTAAGTTGAGGACTACCTGTATTTCTAGCCTTTGATGCTAGAGTATAACAATGTCTAATCCTTTAAATTCTTAGATTAATAAATAAGCTGTAACCCAGAACATTTGGGTCAGGGGAATCTGAGAATCTCTTTGCTGTCCCTTCTTTGGTTCAAACCAGGAGGGTGAATCTGACATTCCTGAGGATGTTCCTAAGCCTCAAAGACCCATGTTGGGGGCCAGAATTTCTTCTAACCTGTAGAAGGAGTTCTAGTGAATGGAGGAGAGTATTTCAGTATCTTAAAAAATGTTTTCCACTGTTCTGGTTATTTTTTTTCCTCCCTAAATTAAAATTTTAGGCTTGCTCACCACAACTATCAAAAACTATTTTTGTGAGTAAAGAACAAGAGAGTTAACTCTGGCTCTGCCTCATTTAAACTGAAGTTCTTTTAAGCCAAGCTTAACTATGTAACTTTTGGGAGCAAAATGGAAGTGATGTGACATCTCCTTCTAAAATGCTTTTTGAACTTTTCAATTTAGCACCTAGACCTGGAATTTCCTGGTGTTTTTTTCCCAGCCATGTACTGAGGAAATCTCATCTGCTTTATGAGATCAGCCAAGGAGAGCAAAGTGCTGTTAAGGGTGAATAATTCTAAAGAACCTTCTTTTGAGGAGTGCTTGAAAGACCATCAGAACAGCTGCTGAGGTCTACTGCTTGGAAGGAAATGAGATCAGAGCAGTGAATCTTGTAAGGGGGCAATAGATGGTTTTGTGGAAAATAGGGGACGTTTGGGTAATTTGTAAGTGGAGGAGAAATGTCAGGGGCAAAATTCACACTTCTGAGCACCCTTTGTTAGTTGACCTCCCCTTTGTTTTCTCCAGAGCTGCCATTAAAATGCCATTATAAGTCCCCCTCCCCCCATTTTCACCCCAATCTCGTTTCACAACGATTGCTAAAAGTTTGACTTGGTTCAACATAGTCAGCATACATTCCATAGCCCGCAATATTGACAAGGCGACATATCCCCAAATCATACTGGTGCCAGTAATGTGCTACATTTATGACTAATATGGTGACTTTCATTACATAGCTTTAGTGGACTGAAAAGGTGTGTGTGTGTGTGTGTCTGCATGTGTAAGCTACCTAGATTGAAAAAGGGGGAAGAGTAAAAATGTGCATGTTGGACAAGGCTCAGAGACCCACAGTCAAAACACCATTAAAAAGTCAACCTTGGTTGTACAAATGCTTCTACTTAGCACTATTAATTTATACCATGTTTTAAGGCAGCTTCCTACAATCTGGTGCCCTCCAAATGTGCTGGCACCACAACTACAATAATTCCCAGCTAACCAACACCCATGGTAGTAGAGAATTCTGGGAACTGTAATCCAACTCATCCGGAGAGCACCAAGTTGAAGGAGGCTGTTTTGGTAAGTAACGAAAGATGAAAAAGACAGGTTGGGTTCATAACATAAATCAACTACTGTGAGAACATCCAGCATGGTTTGGGAACATAGAAGTAAGGCTAAGAAGCCAGTGGAAAGTGTCCTCAAGGTGAATTTGAGAAGGCAGTTTTTGGGGAACTCTGTGCAGATGCCATCGTATCTCTGAATAGTGACACTATGCATTGCAGTGTATGCCACCGGTCCTGCTGATGTCTGAAGAAGGCCTTAAAGAACATGTCTTAGACACTGGGCTCTAATTATTCTATATGAAATTATTATTATTATTATTATTATTATTATTATTATTATTATTGCCTTCCATGGCCCATACAAGTATGAACTTCAGCTATCAGAACCCTCAGCAATATCCATGCTAGCTGGGAAATTCTGAGAGCTGTAGTACATACATCTTGAGGTTGTGCGAGATGAGGAAAGCTGGTTTAATGTATAAATGTGAGGTGTTTCTTTGGGTCTGGTTTGTTACCAAAGGTATGCTCTGGAATCTCAGTTGCGTGGAGGTGCTATGCCAAAGGTCTATGGCTAAGCTTTGCAAGGAGTGGATTTGAGCAACACCAATGCCGTTTCTCTTCACACGTATTTGCACAATGTCCCATACTTCTGAGTATATGCATATGTATGTTTTCCTCCCACTTGTCTAGCCCCTTATTGCAGCCTCCCTCCAGCACCTCTCCATGGCTCTATCCTCAGCCACACCGGCCTGCAGCCAGGAAGCACCATTTGGTTTGGTTGTGACACCGGCTACCGCCTTGTGGGGCACAGCTTCTCAACGTGTTCAAGACACCCCCAGGGTTACTACCACTGGAACAAAGCCATGCCTCTGTGCCAAGGTGTGCAGGAGACAAACTGCAACTATATACTTTGCATTGTTGATTTGAACTTTGATCCCACCCTGTCCTATAAACGGTCCGACCAATTTTTTTGACAGTATTGCAACAGGTTGGGTGTTACAATAACGTAAGGTCTAAAATTGAAGGGCTGGCTATTCTAATAGCCAAAAGGTGACATCCACATTTTATGTTCCTAGTACAGTGGAACCTCAGTTTACGAACTTAATTTGTTCCGTGACTCTGGCTGCAACCCGAATTGGTCGCGACCCGAAGCAAATTTCCCCATAAGGTTCAATGTAATTACCGTTAATCCGT